GATCGAATTGTTAAAACTTTGAGATCATAAGACCTTTTAGGCAACTCTCGATTTTTATAGGCCACGGCCACCCCACTCGGGGACTAACACTTCGGGCAACTCTCGATTTTTATAGGACACGGCCACCCCGCTCGGGGACTAACACTTCGGGCAAGCCCCGAAGTAAAACGGGAAATTAAGCCCAAGGGGCAAATCCCGAACTAAAGAGGCTGCGGCCAAATTAACACGGCTCGGAGACGTCCGAATTCGTAACAAAACGGGCCTTCGAATTCTTTCATAAACCGATTAAAAGGGCTAACCCCGACGAAATCATAAAAGGCTTCGATAATATCAAGCCTCGAAAACTCTAAAGAGTACAAAATTGTTCGAACTCTCGAACAATTCCTTATTTCATGCTTAGGCATTTCAACCTTTGTGAACACGAATGATAAACAAATGGAAAACTTTAAAAGCCGAAAAGGGTAGAAAAAGCCTTATAAATATGATTAAACGATCGTTTTACAAAGGCCAGATCGGCCAAATACAAAATTTACTAAAGGCCTAAGGGCTACTTTCACTTCAAGTTCAAGAGATCCTTCTCACTTGACTAGAAAGCCTAAGGGCTACCTAATTCCGAGTTCAAGCATGTCCTAACTCGATCATTAAGCTTAAGGGCTATGTAAACTCAAGTTTGAGTTATCATTCGGGGTCCATCGATTAGAAAAGTTCAAAGGCGAGGCTTATTATTGGCCTTTACCTTCCCCAAACCTTGGACCCACGAACACAAATTCATGATTTTATGCTAAGGCCTTTTGACCCTTATATGAAATAGCAAAAAAAGACAACAGATTCACAAGCTATGAAAATGAAGAAGTTTTATATTCATAAAAAACTTTTTATAAAGGCAACACGGACCGATGGAAATTCTTTACAAAGGCTGGAACGACCTCAACAAAAATTTAAAAAACTATCGAAAAGCTTAAGTAGCACAATCCTTATCGGTAGGAGTATCTTCGCCCTCAGAATCTTCTCCACCACCAGATTCACTCGAGTTTTCGGAGTCTTCCTCGAGAAAATCCAGCTTCCGAGCCTTTGTCTCCTCTGCCCTGGAAACCTTTATTTCAGTAGATATATCGAGGCTTTATCACGGGCCCACTCAAGGGCCTCTCTCCGAGCTTACCACTTCGCGTGATCCACCATGCTCTTGGCTTGCGCTAGGGTGGCTTCAGCATCGGCCTTGTATTGGGTCGCACTAGCTTGAGCCTTGATATTGGCCACGGCTGCCTCAGATCTGGCCACTTCGAGCTCTTTGGCTAAATTGGCTAAGTTGGACTCAAACTCCTCGACTTTCTTAGCCTGAGCCGAGGCATCCTCTCTTGCCGACCGAAGCTGAGACTCGGCCGAATCCAGCTCTGCTTGAACGGCCTTCTTTTGTGCAGCCAGAATGTCCATACACCCCTTGAACTCTTTAGCCTTAGCTCGTACATTAGCTATTTGCCCTTGGAGGCCCTTGATCTGTTCGAGCCTCTGTCGGACCTGCAGAATTGGATCGTTAGTTGTTATTTCCGACTCGTCCTCACTATCATGAAGGACTTGGAATACCTGCTCGGCCATCTCAGCATGCTCATCTTGAGCCGCTACCAAGTCTACTTGAAGCTTCTCACTAAGAAACTTGTAGTATTGCATTTCTTAGTAAGGCCCTGGACCTCGGCCTTACGTTCCTCTTGGATTCGAAGAAAGGCCTCATGATACAACACTGAAGCCTACGAGAAAGGAAGAAAATGTTAGAAATATCTACAATTCAAAGTCATAAAGATATAATGCAATGGCCCTTGAACTCACCGATTCAGAGCATGCTGGGCCTTGTCGAACAAGCAAGCAACTTCCACTTCATCCATCTTGGCTTGGTCCTCTTCAATGACCAAGCATCGAAGATAGCTAGCCACCCCTACGGTGGCAGAGAAAACTTGAGCATCCTCCGGGACCAAGATGATAAGTGGCCGCTTACGCCGGGGATCGACGTTAGGGGCCAGGTATTGGTTAGTCAGTTTAAAGCTCGAGGAAGCCTCATTCGAGCTCATCCTAGGTATATCCAAGTCACCCAAACCGGTGACATCTTCTACCGCAGAAAAATAACCACGGAAATAATCTTCCTCTCCGTGGGCCCCTTCCCCATGACAAGCCTCCGCAGCCTGAGCGTCACGTATCATCGAATCAGAAACTGGAGTGAACGAGGGAGGATCCCCGATCTCTATTGCCCCAATATGGTCTTTCGAGGCATCGCCTCCGTTCTGGGAACCTCGAGCCCGGTTTTTGCACCGGCTTCGACCGCCTCCTCAGTAGCCTCCCCACCTCGAGGTGAAGGATCTTTGGCTTTTTCTGGCTCGGGTTCATCAGGTCGGGGTAAAGAAGTTTCGGCTCCCGCCGGCCCAGTGGTTCCTTGAATCTCGGTGCCAGTTCGCACATGGGTCACCGGCCTAGAGTCTTCTTCTTCTTCTTCTTCCTCTTAAGCCTCATCCCTCAGCTGTTTGACTGACTTTATAGTTAGGCGGATGACCCCTTTGGGTTTATAGGGTCTCCTCATCGATTTTTTCTTTTCCGGGCCCGGAGAGCTCGGAGAACTAGGAGACCCTTTTCTCCTTGGTATGCTTCGGAGCAGGAGAAGGGGAAAACGCCTCTTCTTCAGCAGAGGGGGGCCTCATTGATACATCCTTTCCTAGGCCTACAAAAGGAAAAAGAAGAGTAAATCCAATACAAAGCCCGAATGGAAATTGTTCTAAGGAGAGATGATTACTGTGACTACGGGCCTCCCATTGGCCCCTAGATATTTCCATCCAAGCACGCTCGGAGTAGGACCTCTACGATACCAGGCCCTTAACCCATTGCTCGAGGTTGGGGATCACATCCGGCACGACAGCCACAGCTCCAACATAAAAAACTTAGATGAGGAAAGAAGATGAGAAGTAAAATGGCAGAGATAGATATTCAAGGCAATACTTACGATTCATGTTCCATTTTTCATGAAACGGCATGTCTTCGGCGGGGATTAGATCCGAAGTCTTTATTTGGACGAATCTGCTCATTCAACCTCGGTCTGGGATCTCGTCTATGCTCGAGAACGGGGGTTTGGTGGCTCGGCGATAAAGCTTGATCATGCCTCCACGATAAAGCCGGGGGCTGTAGAGACGCATAAGGTGATCGAGGGTAAAAGGATGCCCCTCGATCTTGCTTACAAAAAATCAAAGGAGGATCATGATCCTCCAGAATGATGGATTAATTTGGCCAAGGGTGACGTCGTGCCTCTTACAAAAGATGACAATGTTGGGGTGTAAGGGACTTATCGTGAAGAGGTAAGTATAGACACTTAGATACCCCTCCACATGAGTGGTGATAGATTCCTCAGGGGTAGGAACTACTACATCTTTGCCTACCGAGTTACACTCCTCTTTCACCTTCTCGAGGAGACCGTCGGTAATTGTACATATATATCTTGACATCGGTCCGCATCGACCCGGTGTCGAGGGTGTGTTCTCCACCTTAAAATCAGCAGCAATGGCGCACTTTCTAGGAACAAAGTCCTCTAGGGGAGGATCTGCCGCCGGTTGCTCGCCGGCCGGCCGAGACGAGGAAGTGCTTTCTTTCTGTGGAACAGTTTTAGATGTTTTGGCCATTTTTGTAAGCAAGGGAGAATAGAGATCGAAATTTTGGTGTTTTGGGAAGAACAAGCAAAGAAACAAAGATTTGAAGACAGGAAGCTCTACAGAATGCAAAGAACTATGAGCATTAAATTGAAGGAAATTGAAAGTAAAGTTTGAAAGAAAGAAGAAGCTGACTATTTATTAGTTTCGAAACAACGGTTCAATACTGGTAGTGGACGACCGTCGACTGATGTCCATTAAATGCCTAGTAAACTGGACCGACCGGACGTTTCGGTCACTTCGGTTGCTTGCGTCACGATGCTCACGTCATGGTAAATCGAGGGGAAGTTCGAAGACTCAACTCGTTTCTTGTCATTACACTCCAAAAAATGAGGGGACTATCTGTATACGGTCAAGATGGGGCCTCTCTAACTTTGTGTGGCTAATCGAAATCAGGGTAATAGACCAAGGTCCGGCCTCGCATTGCATCGGACCATGGTACGGAGATGGATCGCTAAGCTCGTGAGTCGAGGATTGATCAAGATCGAGATCAGTCGTGATCGAGACCGAAGCGAGATGGGGACCGAGCATGATCGAAGAAAGCCTGCTAAACCAAATAACAGAAAGCCGAGATATCCGTGACCGGTCAAGGATCGTGGCGAAAATCTCGGCACGTATCAAGTCAAGACCGGACATTTAGCCAATCATGAGATTTCCTTCTGTATTTAGAATTGTACCATAAGTGGAATTCCTCTACTATATAAAGAGGGTTCTAATCATTTGTAAACATCATATTCACGCATAACAAAGCAATACATTACATTTTCTCTTAAGCTTTGTTGTTCAATTCATACTCATTTGTTAGCATATTCTGTTGGTTCGAGGGCGATCTAGCTCGAAGGCCATAACTGCTCATTGTATTGGTTTGCTTTATTTTACAGTTAATTTCTAACATTAATTCGTATATTTCTCAGTTTGTGCCAAGTGAAATCACATATCATTAAAATCATTATAAGTATAATTGTTATCCAATTTTAAAGCTCAACAAAGTACACATTCAAATTGTTGAATTCCATCGACACATGAGAAACTTTTAGTGTAATGATAAATTACTTTACGTTGTTGGTTTGAATCTCGAGTCACACTCCATCATTTTCTGAATCTCCTGGTTAGTGGCCATGTCCAGAGTCAGGACCAAAATTTAACCGTGGATATTACTTAATACTAAAATAAAGAGAATTAATTTGATCGGGGAATAACAAAATCGACAGAGTCTCCCAAAGGGACAGTGATATCCGCACTTCAGACAACTAGACAAACTAGAACCTCTGAGGGAGAGAATAAAAATTGCGAACTGCTTGTACAAATAGATGAGGAAAGTCATTTGCCCTAATTTCATAGAAATATCAGAATAATACTTGCTCATGAAGAACTTTTTTCTGGATGATGACTTTTTGTTGTATAACCACACTCAAAATGTAATTAAGTAGGCTTTGGAATCCAAATGGGCATAAGCCTTATTATACAATACAGAGGACAAGACATTCAGTACAATTAATGAGTAAGTACACACAACAGACAGAGATGGACATAAACACACATTAAAAAAGCTCAATTGGCCGGAGCTTTGAAGACGATATCTTTGAGAAAATGAAGAAATGAAACCACCTTGTCATGAGGTGGAGTGATTTCTTTAACTATAGGCAGCTCAATTAAACTAGTCAGCCATGAGTATAACAGGGGTGTCTTCTCTGGATCTAATATCTTCACACCAAACACTTGCTCTTGTGCTTTGTATGCCCCTAGTGTTACAATGATCATGATATCTAGCAACCCTATATTCCTGTCCATACCCAGAGAGGAATTCTTGATTCCATCTTCAGTTTCTCATAAAATTCCTCTAATGCTTTTTCTTCCCCTTTGAAGACCTTGATCATGCATTCAGTCGGTATGCATAAGAGTGTCAATGGTCAATAAAAATCAATTGAATCCATGAAAATGAGCCTTATCCAACTAATTTTTAAGTAGTTTTTTAAAGTAAAATCATAAGTTTCAATTTATATATATATAGGAGCATATATTAACTATACCAAATTATTAGGATAAGTTTTTAATTTTATGAAAGAGATCGATCCATAATATCTTAATTAAGTAAAAATATTATTCAACCAAATATTTGTGTTGATATAGAGGGTTTAAGTGTTAGATTTTACAATATAGGGCGTGTATGTGCAGTTAAGTCATATTAGAGAAGTATTTAGTGTAATTTGTCCTTTTCTTACCTCAACCCCGTTCCTTTATTTTACCTTGGGATAGACTAAATAGGCAAAACTCATACACATAGTATGAAAAGTCTTGAACAATGTGAAAATGGTTAGAAAGAAAGAATGTATTTGTGACATGAATTACCTGTTGGATGTAAGAAGCCCAAAACCGGACTCTGGATCTTTCATAAGGATCTTCAGGCAAGAGTCGAGGTTCGTTCTTCCATGTCTCATCAATGTATTCAAGAATGACAAATGACTCCGATACTGGCCTTCCATTATGGGAGTCCGGAACCCAATTATGGTTCTTTTGGACTCAAAATACATAAATAGGTAGGAAAAAAAAAAAGATGACATATTTATATATAGTGCCACAATACTTGGCGCTATACATTACCGTCACAGTTACCGTTAATGTATAGCGCCAAGTATTGTGGCACTATATATAAATATGTCATCTTTTTATTTTCCTACCTATTTATGTATTTTGAGTCCAAATGAACCATAATTGGGTTCCGGACTCTTATTTTCCTCTCCCATTTTGGTCTCTCAGATTGTTTCAGAATGGAGATGCTTATGTTTAAAGTCGTCATATATAAATTCTTTACATCTTTTTGGCTTACCACTTGGCCACATCTAAAGTCAAGATTTGACTCGTATATTTTAAAAGAACCGACATATGTGATAAACACGCATTTTTTAATTGTTAGCTGATTCAATAATCTAAATGACAAGGGCAATGACCCCAGCAACCTATTTCTTTGTGCCCAAGTTTGGAAAACAAATAAAGGATAGGTGAAATCATGAAGCAAGAAATAAACATTTTTTTTCCTGGGATATGGAGTGGAGATGGAGTTAGTTGAATTCCAAATACACAACCTATTATAAAGAAGTTAAATTTTAATCAAAGGGAAGAACATGATTTGCACTTCTTAATTCTTAAAAAGAGATCTGTGTCCTCATATTGCTTTGGAGGGAACAAAGAGCTCAGTAAGTTTATTTTGTGGTTGTGGGATGAAAGTTCTATTGTTAAATTATTAGAGCCTTCAAGGTGAAATAGTTTCGGTTAAGCTATTTGATCAGAAAACACAAAATCATATCGACTAGGTGTATGACAGAATTCCAAAAATACCCAAGAAACTTGTTTACGTGTCATGTTTCCAAATAGCTTGTGTGAGTTTAAAGTTGTTTACCTTTAAAAATGGAGAACAATTGAATTTATACGCGGTTTTAAGGATATGTGGATTAATTCAATACAAGTGATTAATACCGTTAGATGAGCAAATTAAAGATAGAATAAACAACCAAACCAGTAGTAGTATTGAGTCCGGGCTCGGTTATGAGCTTAACAATTAGCCTGCCTTCGGTTCGGAGCCAAATATTTATGAATAACTATGAGCAAAATAAGAATTTTAAATAACTTTTGGAAGGAGAGAAAACAAATGTATATTGCCTTGGTATGCGTATTACAATGTGTCCCATGAATAAAATTATCTCCTTTATATAGTAGGAGAGTTCCACACCTGGTATATTCTAACAAAGGTAAAAATCTTCTTTTTCATTAATCATTTATCTTCTGCCGATGCGGGCCAAGATGTTAATCGTGTGCGAGCATTTGGTAATGCTTTCCAAGGTCTTGGAGCTCGAACCGGAGCCGGGGGCATGGTCTCAATGGCTCCAAGGGCCGATATTTTGTCCGGGCCTTGATACGAGAGGCTCCCAGCTTCGATTTTGATTCCTTGCGTCCTTGCTTCGTTTGACCCACTGGGAAATCGGGGTGCTCATTAGCCCTGGTTTTACCCGTAACAGATAGTCCCCTCATTACTCAGAGATTAGGTTTTTCGGAACAATGAGAAACGATAGTTGTTCTCCGGTTCCTTCCTCCGTACGTTACAACCGAAATGACGAAGAAGTCGAAACGTCCCATCAGTTGCGTCGTTCTGACATCGGACATGTGTCAACCATCGACTGGTTGCCTACGAATGCGAAGCGTCGTGTACTTCCCCTATAAAATCTTATATCCCCTTATTCTTTTTCTACTTTCCAATCAAGCTTCTACCTTCGAATCCTCTAGCTATCACCAACTTCCTTCAAACCTTCATATCTTCATCCTTGATCTTCAAATTTTCATAGTTGTTTTCAGCTTCTTACCCAGATATTATTCAAATCTTCATACTCTATTTTTCAAACCTTTGTATTCTTTCTTTAAGTTTTTAAACTTTTCTAGATAACAATGGCTAAAACGTCTAAATCAGTTCCTCAACAGGTTGCCTCTTCATTTTCCCAACCGGCCGCCGGTACCGAAGCGGCCTCTCCCGAAATGGTTGTTCTCGACACCTCTTCTCCCAAAGTGGCTGCCACCGAGTCGGCTGCCACCGAACCAGTCCCCGAGCCCTCCTTGAAAATGTTATTCAGGGGGGCTATTCAATTGTGGACGACTTCAAGGTCGAGAAAGCCTTGTCCAAACAAGACCGAGGTAAATGGGCATCGAGATATATATGCTCTTTCACCGAAGATACTCTCCCCACTGTCCGAGAGGACTGTAAATGGGGAGATAAGGACGTGGTAGTCCCCGATCTTGAAGACTATATCACTACCCATGTGAAAGGGTATTTAAGTGTTTACACTTATCCCTTCATGCTGGCCCCGTTAGACGCAGTCGTTTTAGATTTTTGCAAGAGATACGAGGTGTACTTGGGAAAATTCATCCGTCTCTTTGGAAGATCGTAATCCTCCTCCGTTATTTTGTGAATAACATCGAGTCCCATCGATTCACCCTCGACCACCTGCTCCATCTATATAGTGAATTTTCCGAGAGGGATTAATCAAGCTCACTCGTTGGGCCAGCAAAGCCCCCTTCTCGACTATTAACGAAGATCGAGATTGGGGCTGGAAGGGATGCTTCGTTCGGATGAAGATCGAAGACTTGATCCTTCCCGAGTTCATACCATTCCCTGAGAAGTAGAATGCATCTCGTAAGTGCAGCCTTTCCTTAAGTGTCAATTTTTCTTCATCTCATTTATCACCATTTGTATTTGTGGTTGTGCAGTTGTTGACCGGGTTCCAAATGCTATCCCCCGGCTCAAGGAGTGGATTGAAGGCATCTGTAAGCAGATGTCATACTTCGAGCGCTCATAGCACAAGCTTTCGAAGGGCCGATGGGAGGCCCGTTCTCATGGTAAGGTTTTCCTTCTAGTAGTTATTATCGTGCTCTTAACTTACATCATACTAACCTTTCTTCTTTCTTTTGTTGGTTTGCCTAAGACCACCAAACTTAGGTCTTTGGAAGGGGACGAGGACGTGCCTTTATCCATTGATCCCTCCATCGCGGGACAGCACGGGGTTGCCGCGGGGTAAAAGAAAAAGAATAAAAGAAAGGCTTCGGGCTCCCCGAGCTCTGAGGTGAAGCCAAAGAAAAGATTGGCTCGTAAGCCCAAGAAGAGTACCAGCTCTCGGGTGCCAGATTCTGGCTCGCTTCTCCGGCTTAGGGATAAGTCGGAAGAAGACGACATTTTTGCTGCCCATAGATCGACCCCTCCCGGGGAGAAGGCCACAGCCAAGGGGGTGGGCCGTGAGATCGATCTCCCTCCAACTCAAGAGGTCGAGAAGGAGACGGGGGCTGAGAACCCCCGAGACGGCGGTTCTGTATCGAAGGAAGCGACCGGTGTAATATAAATCACGGGGACGCCCTCTTACACCGAGTCCATGCTCGAAGAGGCCTAGCATGAAAAGGGAAATCAAGTGAAGGAGTCCACGATGCGGACGACCCCCTTCAGTCCTTCTTCGACGGTGTGGATTCGTCTACTTTGGAAGATTTTTTCGGGATGGGCGACCTGGAAGTCCCGAAGAAAGACATATCTTTGGAAGCTGGTGGGCCGAGTTCGAGCCGAAAGCTGGTTAATCAGCTTCCCACTCCGAGTGTGGACCCTGGTCGCAAGAGAGCAGTTATTCTTACTGTCCCGGAGGATGCCCGGGTTCTATCTGCTCCCGTGGGCGTAGACAACTACCTCTGATGCTTGGTGACCGAGGAGGACCAGGAAAAAAGAACGAGGTGGACGTGCCTTGTCTTTTCAATGAGGCACAGCAGGCGCTGAACCGGGTAAGGCATAATTACATCTTCTTGAATTTTACTTAGGTTTTGATATCTCCCACGACTTTCATTATTTTGTAGGCCTTGGTACTTCACCACGAGAGCTTCCTTCAGTATCGTGTCGAGAGTTAATCAGCTCGAGGCCGAGCTTAAGGAGCAGGTTCAAAAGAAGGATATGTACAAGCACCTTAGCAAGCAAAAAGATAGGGCCATCAAGGACCTTCAGACCGAGTTGGATAGGGCTCAAAAGGAAGCTTCGACCCTGAAGCGGGAACATGCCAACCTAATCGAAAAGGTAAAGGTCTTCGAGGTTAGGAATGAGGAACTAGTCGTAGTGGCTAACGAAAAAACCTCGCAGGTCCAATAGAAGATCGACCAGATCGACCAACTCCAAATCGAGATAAACGAGGTCCAAGCCAGGGCCGACGGGTGGAAGAGCAAAATGGACATGCTGGCTTCGTAGAAGGAAACCGTCTAGCCAAAGCTGACATCATTAGAGGTTCAACTCTGGGTGGAAAAAGAGAAAGGCAACAAGCGGTCCCAGCTGAATGACAATCTCCGAGCATAACTAAGCTCGGCTCTAGCAGATCGGGACGCCCTCGGTAGAGAATACAAAGCAATAAAGTCCAAGTTGGACACAACCTCCGCCGATACCGAAGAGATGGTGGCCCAATACAAGGCTGATGTCTTAGCAGCCGAGGCCTGCCTGAAGACCAATGTCGAATATATGAGGCGGTTCTCTTGAAGATAGACCCTCAAAGAGATTCACACCCGAGGCTTCGAACTGTCCCCCGAGATCGAGGAAGCAAAAAAAACTTGAGGCCGAGGCAAAGAAACTTTTCGAGCATGAAGGTGCCCAACGTTCCGAGGGTTCTGAGAGATTCGAAGGATCCCACGGTTCTGGCGACAAATTGGGTCCCAGTGAAGATCAGGCATGAATGCCTTAGAACGTTTTTAGTTTTTGTCTTGTGTATATTTTGAGGCCGTTTTTGTTAGGCCTTTGTAAATACACTCCGAAATATATAAAATTTCCTTTTCTAGCAATTTTGGGTCTCTACTTTTTTAGCATCTTTCATAATTTCTATTCTTGCAAAATATTTCTAATGCCTTAGCATAAAATCAAATATACTCCCTCCGTTTCAAATTAGATGAGGTACTTTTCTTTTTAGTTTGTTCCAAAATAAATGACACATTTCTAAATTTAGAAATAATTCAACTTTAAACTCTTCATTTTGTTCATTTTACCCTTAATGAGAAGCCTTTATAACCACACAAATGTCATGGCCCCACAAAGCTTTTACCCCATAAGTTTTTAAAATCACAAGTTTCAAAAGTCTTCTTCTTTTTCTTAAACTCCGTGCCGAGTCAAACTACCTCATTTAAATTGAAACGGAGGGAGTAGTAATAAGTTTTTCGTTTTTCAGAGGTCCAAACAGAGCATGACT